GATAGTTGTTCCGGATCCTACGTAGCAAGACAAGACTCTGATAGGACCCGAAGAGAGAGGATTGTGGATTAAACCTAAGCCTCGGATCAACACTCCCGGCAATTTTGGAGGAATGAGGAAACCAGCGGGGAGTGTGAATATATTTCAAATGGGCTCATATAAACAAGCAATAATTTATGATATTGAAGTAGTGATACATGGATATAGGACAGAAGAAGAGATAGCACAATTGTTTAGCAGATAACTTGTCTTTTTGACGAGTTGAAGTGTGCTGCTAGGAATGGCAAAACTCACCGGAGTGTATCACCTCCACGATCCGATTCTGGAAATTGTCATGCCTACTATCGACTCCGCAAAGGTGTGTTGCTCTTGGTCTTCCTGCCAATATGACCAAGTTGCGAAACAATGTCAACCAACTTATATACAACTAAAGACGACTGCGGTCATACAAAAGGCCAAGCCATTCGGTCGTCATATCTTCGACTGAGAAGATATACTTTTGGCCCCTTTAGTAAAATTGACTTGATTAATAGTAGTATAAAAATATTACTTTTATCAAAGTAACATTGTTATATCATGCAGTATTTGATTTATTTATGTGCACAAAGTATGGCACTTGCACTGATCAGAATTATTTTTTCGCTTCATCTAATGGATACAGGATTTTCACTTTGATCCAGCCTGGACGGTACGGTTCAGTATACTTGCATGAAAAGGCAATCTAGCACAGAATAAGATTACACTTAAAGTTAACTGAAAATATAAAAGGTTAATAAGATAAATACATAAATAAAATACAAAATTAGACAACCATTTATAGATTTGGTATATTCATAAGACGATTGTAAACTAATACTTTGAGATATTTCAGGCTTTCCTTGAGATTTTTTGTAGCTAGACCCTAATTTGTATGCCAAACATGTAGTACATATAACATTGGTTTGTTCAATAAAGTGCAAATACTTTTATTTATTTGGTCAAATCTGCTGTCGATTATTGCTTTAATTAAAATCTCAATATTATATCAAGCATTACCTGAACTTCTTATATTTAATAATTGTAAGTTCAACCAATCTCCTACGGAATGAGATCCCTGTTGGTATGGAGAAAGAGGGAAAAAATATTTTAAAAAATAAAAACAATAAAATTCGAAACTAGGCAACTATTTCATATTTATTTTATATTTTTCGTTTGCCTTTCGTTGACTTTTTAGAAGCAAGAACTTATTTATAATATATATATAATATATATATAATAAAATGTATAAAGAGGGAAAAAATATTAAAAATAATAAAATTTGAAACTCGGCAACTATTCCATATTTATTTTACATTTTTGTGGTCCTTCTGTTGACTTTTTGAAGCAAGAACTTACTTTTAATTGGAAATATTTAAAAAATGAAATAATCAACTGATCTTTTTACTTTTATTCAAGTTGTGCACAGACGAGAACAACTGCATGCACAACAAGCCTCCATTCACTTCTTCCAGCGGCGCCAGGCTTCTGACCCCGATCCTGGCCGGATCGCCCAATTCGTTGTATCAATTCGGGGCCTCCAGTCTCACTCTGCCTGACCTTCAACAATCTCTCCTCGGCATGTCGATGCGACATGTCGGATCCTGTCTTCCGCCATGCGGATTCAAGCCTCCCTATTCGCATAGGCCCAACTCGGCCCATGAACATTGCAAAAAAGAACCCATTCTTCCGTCCACCGGCACTTTGGACCTTCCATCCGAGCCTGAATTGCCTCTCGACCCAAGTCACCAGACCACTGGTCCCGTCGGCCATCTCCACGAACAGGCACAGGCTCTACCCCTGCTGTATGGCAACGATGAACATGCCATGGCAACAACATCAGACGGTCAACTGAGCTACAAGAGCCTCCTGACAAAAGCGACATCCAGCAAGTCTGGTCTGAGCGTTCAATCACCATCCTCCTACACTCTTTCACCCGCCAACTCGTGCAATCTGACACATGAAATCGGCGCCCACAACAACCACAACAACCACAACCACAACAATACCAACAATGGATTGGG